CCGGCCCTCGGCGAGGCGCCACGCGCATCGGGGACGTCGCATTTCTTAAAATCTCCCCCGGCGTCGCCGTGGGGGGAGGAGGGCGGCTTGGCTTCCCGTCCTTTCGAGCGGAGCTTGAGAGCAGCCCTCCGATTAAGTAGCGCTTCTCCCCCCGTTCTCGGCGTGGCGTGCTGGGCTGCCGCTGAAAAATCCTCATGGGCGTGTCAGGTTTGAAACAGACACTTTCCTCCTCGGTTTTGCCATCCAGGGCCGGGCCTTTCTGAGGCTGCACCTCATAAAGACGTGGCTGGGTTCACGCGAAACACTACGTTGTGTGAACCCAGACCGTGTTGGGCTAATCTCCCTGGAATGTAGGGCAACTCCTAATAGAGGTGTCGGCTAACTCGCCTGATAGACAGACGTTGCTTGGCGTACCATGTTGCGCGAACCCACTCAGTTGTGCTTTAATCAGGAAAACCACAGTTAAACCATAGCTTGCTGTACAATGCAAAGCTAGCTTTAGAATCGTGGCAATCACGTTTATTCCATTTTAATCTTGGGTGAACTTTGCCTGGTTTGGTTGAGTATCTCTGAGCAAAACAATTTGTAAGTATGCCTTATCGTGCTATACATCCTTTAGCGTTCAAAGTAACAATGAGAAGGGTTCAGCAGTTGACAGCTATGTAGAAACTTGCCCAGCTCCTATTTTTTAAATTGTTTTAATTACAAGACATCCATCTCAATTGTATTAATTCCAGGAAAAATTAAAACCTGAAGCCTGTTGGAATGAGGCGTTTCTGAGTCGATTACTTAGCCTGAGTTTATGCTCCTTGGCATTCCAGTAAGACTTGCATCCATGTAAGGCTGAGTAGCCATTCTAAATGTTTATTCATGACTCCCCCCCCCCCCCCCCCCGTTAAACACATTGGAGTTCACTGTCGTAGGGACCTCTGTGGACTTGCATCTGGATCCATGATTTTGTAGTGCTGTAGTTTGTACTGTGGCTTTATCTCAGGGTGTGTCAGTCAGGCAACCCACTTTGCAAAACCTCATGTTACTTTGAACTCCCAGCCCTAGAACATTACAACACTATAACGTGAAAGCTACATGCATTCTGTATTTTTAAAGATTTGCAGGAGAAAAGCTGGAGAGGAAGTTGTCATTTCAAAAAAAATGCAGAATGTAAACATGGGAAAATAAGGACAGGGAGGAAGCTACTGCATAGCAAGCTGCATTTTTCTCAGCCAGCCATTTTCTTTTCTAGGGTTTTCTGTCTGGCTTATAGCTGTGACCCTAGTATTCCCATGGTGGGTACACTGAATGTACTTAATTCTGTTTAAAGAAACAAACTTTAGAGAGATCAACAATTCTTAACCTTCTGCAAGCACTGGGGTTCCTCTGTAGATGCTTTCCTCATATACTTACCTTGTGCTGTTTTCACAGTCTTAAAGAATAGTGGTTGGAAAACCAAATACTGTAGGCTGTTGGTGATTATATATGCGTGATGCAGTATATACTGTATAAGGCAGTGAGGTACTTTGGAGGGGGAACTGGTATTTCGCCTGCTAAAAGCCTGCATAATCAGGGTTTGCCTCACCTATAAATCAGAGGAAGATACAGCAAATCTTGTTATTTAATGGCTTCTGGAGTAAAGCCTCTTGAAACAGTAACCCTCTTTTTGGTACAAATCTTACTATCCAAATGGACTGATGTAGTGGCCTTAGGATCAGTACAGAAAACGCTAAAAGGCTGCCTTCTGCAGGGCTGAGATTCTGTACTCCCCCTCCTTTCTTTAAGGGGAAAAAAACACATTAGTGGCGTTCCTCCCATTTCAGGCCCACAATGCAAGAGAGCCTCTGCTGCTGCCAGGATGTGGTGAACAGGAAACTGGCACAGCTGTTGACCATATCTGTGGCACAGCAGAGGAGAGAGACATCTGGTGGCAGAAATGCCTTTGTGTGCAGCAGATCCAGATAATTGTGAAAGAGCCCAGACTAGTGTCTGCTTTCGGGAAAAGTCACACTAAATAGGTCCTCTAGCTTTAGCGTGCATACTTAATTACACTCTATTGATAAAAGCACATGTCTTCACTGCTTCGTCTATTGAGTTCATGTTAGTAATGGGGTGTTCCGAATCTGGTCGGACTCAGGGTCCATCTAAACTTAGCCTTCCCAAATTCTAGCGTCCTCCAGAAATGTCTGACTATAATCAAGCTGTACTAGGGATGACTTTGTGCAGTTTGGTTCTGTGATGACATCTAGTGGGTCTGCTTAAGGCCCCGTCTCCATGAGAAGGACAAGGAGCAGAAGCCAAGCCCGCTCCGGTGGTTGCCCCCACATTATGGAATATGCTGCCCTCGAGCACACTTAGCCCTTCTGATTCAGAAAGGTGTTGAAAATCTTCCTTTTTATTTGGGCTTTTGAAACTGAGCAGGATCAGGTAGCTATTTTTTTTAATTAATTAAACTGGTGCAAAATGCAGTGGCATGGGCAGTCACGTGTGCCCCTAAGAGGACACGCATTACATGTCTTCTACGTGAGCTACGCTGGTTGCTTCCAGGTCCAATTCAAGGTGCTGGTTTTGACCTTTAAAGCCCTACATGGCACAGGGCCAGGTTATCTGAGGGCCCACCTCTTCCTGATTGCATCTACCTGTCCCATCAGGTCCAGCAGGAAAGGCATGCTGTGGATCCTGTCTGCAAAGGAGTTCCATATGACGGGAACTAGGAGGCGAGCCTTTTCTCACCTCCCAGGGTGTTTATACTCCAACCCTTATGGCTGTCCAGAAAGCCCTTAAAATGTGGTTTTCTTCAACAGGTCTGGGGATCTCCAGGTGGTAGAGAGCCCGTGTATCGGCTGTATTATGTGTGATATTCTCCTGCTGGTGATTTTATCTATGTTTACTGTTTTAATTGTTTAACTGGTTTTGCAGTATGTTTTCATAGTAGGTTTTATTGTATGCTGCCCATAGTCACTTCATGTGAGATGGGCAGCCATATAAATTTGTCAAATTGTTTCTACTGCTAACATCAAGCACAATGCAGGGTCTTTATGGGATCTTTCATGTTTACATTTCTTGTGTAGTTTTCTGAGGTGTTATAAAGATTGTAAATAAAATAACTACAATCCTCCTTCCCCACAGCACTAGCATGCCAGGCTAGTTGGATACATTGGGTACCACCCAGGGCGCTGAAGGCAGTTCTTTCCCAGAATCTGCTGATTCCCTTGCCTTACTCTGGGGGGAGATGCCACTTAAATGCACGCAGCATTGCTCCTCATCTACTGGAGTTTTGGCCAGGCCTACCTTTCCACTGTTACATATTCTATTTTTTTTATGCTAATAAAATGCTAAAGGGCAAAAAAAATCCAGGGTGAAACCTTTTATAGACTTGGTTCACTTATCACACTTAAGTCATCACTGGGCTTAGCATGATGGAGAAGTCAGCAATGATGTAAGATGGTCCAGGAGCTGAGCAGAGGTGAGGGGCAGGACCGGTCCAGAAAGTCTGGAGCTAAACTTTAGGTGTTCTCATTCACTGTAATGGTGCTGAGTGTTGCATGCTGCCCAGAGTTGCTTCTTGTGAGATGGGCAGCCATTTAAATGTGATTTAATAAATAAAATAAATATGGCCTCGGTGCATGGTCTGAGACTACATGATGTGTCTTTTTGCTATTAAACAGACCTGGGCCTGGATGAGAAATTGTGTTAAATGTATTTAACCTCCTACAGTGTAAAATAAGCAACTTTCAGTGTGCACTTGGCTTTAAAAAAAAACAACTGGTTCTTGGGTGTGTGCACATATACCTTATCCTGTCTAGCACTACCACTGAATAACTAACTTGTTTATCTTGTGGCAGATATCCAAAGAAATCAAGGCTGGGTTCAGATAACATCCTGGACCTTGGTTAACAAAATACAATTGCTGTGTTCACATGCCATGTTCCTATAATACACTGTGACCAAATTGTAATTTAATATGGTAGCTTGGTTCATATAACCTGCTAAACTGATCTTAGCTCAGTCTAATGTGCTATATGACTCAAGCCTATTGGGGGGGGGAGGAGGGGAGGATAAGACAAACAGCACTATCGGCAGACCTATTTTTCAGACTGCTCAAGATGCCCTTTTCCATACTGTAGCCTGAAGGAGAATCCTCTCTTCCAGGTCCAGCGGACAAGGTACGTTAAGCCTTGAGTACTGAGGGGATTTTTGGCCTTGTAACCAGGAAAGGCCTGGGTTTCCAGGATTGTAGAATGTGTTGAGACCGCTACTGATCTGGTTAAATACATCTGGCAAATGCAACTATTACTGCAGTGAACAAAGTTCATGCCTTGAGAATTTACTAACCAGCTTGCCTAAGTACACCATGACCACATCTGTTTGGTAGCTTTCAAGACCCTGTGCCATCAACAGGCATTTGCTTTTTAAAACATTTATAATATTTGCAGTTGTGTAACTAACTACTGGAAGCTTGCACACATTTCAAATTACTTATGCCACACAGTACTGAATTTGGTGAGGGTTAGGGTTTGAAGGCTCCAGCAAGAGCATCTTGCAAGTAGTGAGAAATATGTCCAGAGGCCACATTGTGGCCTGATTTATACATCAAACTGGAGTACAGCCTCCCATTTCTTTTGCTACACCTTACCTACCTCTCAGCTGTAGCTAGTGCAGTCTCATGCAAAGCGTGTAGTATCACCTCTGGTAGTGGTCACCAAACAGTAACAGCTACATTGATTTCCCAAAGCGCTAGCGTTTGTATTACTAAAAGGGAGATGGCTGCAGTGGTGCTGTTCATCCACACGGCCCTGGTGCTAAGGGGACAGGAGCAGGTTCAGCCTCTTGTAGGAAGAGGCAGTGAAAAGCTGGGCAGACAAGGACTAGTTGTAATAGCAATGACCACAATTCTACTTGAGTGTATATGGAAGTAAGCTGTATTGGTCTAAGTGGGATTTCCTCTCACGTAAACATCAAGTTGCACAATGCTCGTAACCCTGGCCACTAAGAAATCTGAAGCGTGGATGGGTCACCAGGCCAAATCTTAGACTGGTGTAAACGTTACTGGTTTTTCCTCACCCTTTGCTGCACAGCCCTTCCATTCTTCTAACTGTCAGCTTGTTTGCACTTTCCTGAACTAGTTAACGCTCCAGAACAAAAAAGGCAAAGCAGTGCACCCCCCCCCCTTTCCCAGCTTCACTGGCCCTAAATAGCTGAGGCAATTTGTTTCTTTACTTTGTGGCTACATAAACTTAGTAAATTGCATACCCACCAGCAGGACTTGCTCTTACAAGTCACTCCAAACCATCAGGGGGTTTATGATTCAGCCGTAAACATCATGTTGTCTTTATTTCAAGAGGCTCTTAACCTAGTTGCAGCTTTTTTTGTCTTCCCTGTTGATCTGCAGTGTGGGCTCCTGCCAATAATGTGTGTCATTGTGTAGCAAAATACTTGACTTCAATGGCATAGTTAGAAAGACTGCCTAACAAACATTGCTATTGGAGGACAGAAAAAGGGACCCCCCCCCCCCCCAAAAAAGAGCTTCACACTCCATATGACCCAAGAAAGGGGGCCAGGGTAGTGGGCCAAGTTGCAGTACTGTGGCATGTTTTGAAGGAGAAAGTGCAAAGACAGCCAAAAAAAAAAAAAATCAGCCTTATTCGAGTGGAATATTTGTGCAGCTCTAGATGAAGGCTTATTTGCCATTCCTGTAAGCAATAGATGGCCTGTTCTTCAAATTGATCTGACTGCAAGTTGCTGCAAACTCATCAAAGCCCCCGTGTGCCTGGGGCTATATGACCAATCCACAGGAAACTGCTGATATTATAGTTAAAAGCCATTCAAATGCAGGTTAAATGTAGAGGGTTTGTACTCTTATTTTCTGAACCACTTGTACAGCACACTGCACAGATTTCATCATCTGCACATAACTATTTCATCAGCATGCACTAAGAGGTGCAAGGCATCACAAAATGCATAGCGTGTATTGACAGTAGCATCTAGAGTAGTACTCTAACAAACACAAAAATCCAACCTTTAGTTTTTCTACAAATTGGGGAAAAATGACAAGTATTAAATTTCAGATTGCCAGGTGCTTAAAAGAACTCTGCCAGGGAGAAAAATTTGGTAACTATGTTGGAACATACCATATCAGACTTGACCAGCTAGTTGATCAACTTAGCCATTTCTTAAAAGCTAACCTAAACTATGCAATTTAGGTTTTCCTGAAATTCTCTAGGTTATTTCTAGTGTCAGTCACATAAGTCTAGAATTACCACCCTTGGGGGTCTTTGCAAAAATTAGTATTGGCAAAGAGTTACAGGACCAGAGTAAAAAAAAACCCAGAAAAAAATAATGGTTACCAATTTAACAAAGATATTAAAAAAAGACTCTCTCAGACCTGCTAAATAATCTTGGCCTTTTCTTAAGTCTTTTGAGAACAGAGAAACAAACTTAAAGTTGTTCTAAGATGGGAAAATCTAGACCTTCATGTTACTGAACAAAACTTTTGCCAATGATGACCACAATTCTTTAGTTTAGCTATTTGTTAAATGTTGGAATAGGGCTAGCGTTGCTTTAACAATCCAGTTTTTCAAAGCCATTTGGAAAGCTGACACAAAGGATGTCATAAAGCAAGAAACAACCCACTTGTGGAGGTTAAAAATAAGATACAAATGGACACCGCCAATTACAATATACATTTTAGCTAAACAAGTTACAGCCTTCTAAACAGGAGCAGCCAACCTTTGGCTCTCCAATGGCTGTTGAAGAGAAGCCCTAGCAGACAAGCCACAGATGAAGCTCCCCAAAAATTGCAACACTTTTGTTCCTTTTGACACTGCTGGGGGAAAAAAAAAAGTGGGATGCTCTTGGCACAAGATATCCAAATGGTGTGAGAATTTATACTACAGTAACATGCACCTTCCTACTTGGGGAAGATAGGGGTTGACCATACTTGACTGGGGTTAATGGGATTATGCTAAATACATTTGAAGGGCATTAGGAGGGGAAAGCAACCTTGGATGATCCTTGCAGTTTCCCCTTAACTGAAAAAGCCTAAGCATTACTTGCACAGATCAGCTGGCTTAGAAATGGTGAAGAACAGGGCGTCCCATCTTCACCCAGAGCCATTTGGGAGTTCATTAAAAATCTGGATCAGGAGAACTGTACCACTTCCATTGTCTAGAAGAAAGCTCCTCTTACAAAGGAGAGCTGCCCCTTGGGGTTTCTGTTCTACTCAGGTGTTCCTTGAGTTGTTGCCAAAGGAGGAGGCAGCTCAGGCTGTCCAGGGATTCCACAGACAGCCAAACTTCAAAACATCTCAGTTCAGCAGTTTTAGCTGCCCAGTCACCTGATTCACCAGCTCTTCTTCTCCCATGATGGCAAGGACTGTCTGTGACCCAGCTGGGACCTAAGAAAGGAAGGATATTTTTCATTTGGAATACAGGCAATTTGAATGAGAGCACAGAATAGTTGTAGCTTCTCTTGGTGTACTGTACTCTAGCTCAGCACTGTAGATGCTGTGGGAACCTAGGTAGTCCCCGGGTTAAGAATGTCCGGGTTACAGATGACCCATAGTTAAGAACGGAACCCATTGTAGCAAAATTTATACAATAATACTCTTCTGGCTTACGTACAAATTCAACTTAAGGACAGACCTTGGGAACAGAACTCATTCTTAAATTGTACTGTGGTTTCCCCAGTGCACCTTAATTATGACTTGGCTGATTTATACTGGTATGTAAATTAATTTGAGGGACATAATTCTTACTGAAATATCCCCACAAAAGGGAATGAGTGGTGGCAGACAGTGGAAATCCTTTTTTAGTTTTATTCAGTACTTGTTACAGATGCTGTCGAATGTAGATAGGTTTGGGGTGGAAAAGGAATAAGAAAACACCAAAATCAGTTTCTTCAGCACCACTGCCTTATCCGTATATCCTCAAGAAGCTAGAGGACAAGTCAATGGTATCTCAAGGTGAAAAAAGTTTTGTTTTTTTTTAAACTTTTGAAAATCCAGCTCCATTTGAATATTTGTTTTGCTTTGCAGTTTTTCATTTTTGAGGGGGCATAGGATGTCAAGGCTGGAGACAAGGTGGTAGGATTTGGTTTTCAATATCAACTAGTAGAAAGCTGCTTTGAGATGCATAAATAAGAGCTGAGCTGTTGTGGTTCCATCCTTGTTCAACAGTGTTGATAAACTGCTATGATCTAAGAAGTAATTATGCTAGAAAGTGATAAAGAACTACAAATAATTTTTAATTGAAATATAACTCAATCAAGTGCCAGGTTTTTGTTTTTATTGCTTTTACATGTTTGGGCAGCTCACCAGAGTTGTATAAGACCAGAGCTGTGTTTCTCAAGATAGGTGGCCATATACGTTTTTTAGATAAGTAAGTGCCAAAACATCTCCATTCAGGAGAAACGTTCAATTGCTCTACACCCATTACCCTGAACATATTTCCCCTAAGAGACTTTGTAATTATAAAACAGGCAAAAATTTCAAGTTTTCTTCTCTCAGGTTCTGAAAATGTTCTTAGTCTGCATAATTCATAATCTGGTGCAGGAATTCCCCCCCCCCCCCAGAACACAACAGCCAGCACTGTTTGCTTGGTTCAGGATCAGACATCTCTGGAAATATACACTTTTTTCAGAATAGCTGATTTACCTGTGTCCTTCCAGCATCTTGCACTAGGTATGTTGGCAATTCTAGACTCAGGGCTAGTGCGTGCAGTTCCAGCAACTGGTCTGTGTTGGCTCCCTGAAGTACAACCTTCTTTGCACTAAGAACAGCAAAGCACACTTCATTGTAAGATTGTCTTTCCATCCTACACAGTATTTACTTGGCAGTGAGCCTAACTAAAGCAAATTATAAAAGCCATTGGACAAAAACTTGTATATCCTGAAGTCTACAAGTTTTGACTGGCAAAACCAACCTGTTATCTTCCAGAAAAGGGGATTTGCACATTTTACATCCTTAAGTATTACATCTTTAGTTTGGTTGAACAACTTGTTGCAACCAAGCCATGTGAGCTTTACAGCTTAATTTATGGCTTAGCATGATATGTGAACCAACCACCATAGTACAACAAACCAGAGAAGAAGGTCTCTACTCCACATTTGTGCCCCTCCAAATCACCCCTAGATTAGGAGGGGCAAATCAGAGCCAGTTTGGTGTAGTGGTTAAGGTGTTGGCCTAGAAACGAGACTGAGCTCTAGTCCCACTTTAGGCATGAAAAACCTGCTGGGTGACTTTAGGCTAGTCACTCTCTCTCGGCCCAACTCACCTCACCTCAAGGGTGGTTGTTGTGGGGAAAATAGGAGGAGGAAGGAATATTAGGTATTACCTAATATTAGGTTCACTGCCTTGTTGTATATGGAAAAAAAGATGGGATAAAAATCTAAAAAAATAATCTCTGGCCCTTTTGTGATATCTGGGGCTTAAACCATGTAGAAGCCCTTTCATCTCTTAAATCACCTAAGAGTCAAGCTGATTTAAAGAGCAATATTTAAGCTACTGAAAGGCTTACACAACCAATTTTGCCCCTTAGATCCCAAAAGAGAGACCCAAAAATGGGACGTATCCACTCCACCAGCCTTAGCACCTACAAGGCCACAGAAGTTAAAAATGCCACCCTGGAAGTTCCCATAATCCATTTAGCCAAATTTTATCAATGAGCACAACTTTGTGCTGAGTTCACACAATTTTATCCACTGTAAATCATGGTCTACAAACTATAGTAGCTGGGCTTGTACAACATACTACACCAAGGCCAACCAAGCTGCGTTATTTCTTATGAATAAAATCAAAAAGGTGATAGAGGATTGATTCTAATCAAGCTTCATTTCTGAACAGAACTGAGATGGAGCGTAAAAGAGGGGTGGAGATGTAGGGCTCTTCTACCAATCTCTCGATTTCAGCCGCCTCTCTTACTGTTCAAGAATAAAACAATGTGTGGATGGAAATACAGTGGGGTGGAAAGGAAAGGGGAAACTGGCAAAAGCTGTCTTCCCCTTCCGCTGCTGGTAGTGTTCTGGGAATGGAACTCTATTCAGAACATTCCCAACAATGGGAATGTATTAAATGGATTCTCCGTGCCCTTACTATGGCCAAAAGACTGATATTGCAACATTGGAAAGATGGCCCCATTTAGTTGATGGATTGAAGACTTGATTACACTTGCTAATTATGAGAGGATTGCCTGTAGACGTAGACTTTGTATGGACAAATACAATGAAATATGGGACTCATTTATACAAAATACACTGGGTTAAAAAAAAAGGATAGTCATATCATTCTATTAGAAATATATAAGTACTTGAATAATATTTGTATTAGATAAGCATATACAGAATTGGAACTGTGTGCTATTGTAATGTATTAACTTTTTGTTGCATTTTTTCACTTATATGTTAAAGCACTTTTATGTATTTTTTCCTTTGTAATTTAAAAAAATTAATAAAAAATAATAAAACAATGGGAATGCATTTATACTGCATTAAAACTATATATAGCTATTACAGCATTCTCCAACCATATGGTCAAAACTTTCTTCCTATCACATTCTTCCAAGTAGTGGGCACAGATACAGTCTTCTTACACATGTTAAACAAATCATACAGTCAGGTCGGGAAAGTGGCTAGGATAAGGATTTTGCTGGAAGGCTCAGGCCCAGTCTGGGGCCTGGAGGGAAAGGTGGTTTTGTTTCTATTGCTTGCCTTGCGCTGCCTAGAATCTTTGCATGAAATGGATGGCCATATAAGTTCTATAAATAAATAAATAAACAAACAAACTGAAAAGATGAACAAGGAGAGTTATGACAATTCTTCAACTATCTGAAAGAATAGTGCACACAAGAGACATGTTCTTTATCATCCCAGAGTGCAGAATACGGAATAATAGATGGCTGTTAGAAAAATATTCATCACTGTAAGAGCAATTTGATGGTGGAATCAGTTACCAAGAAGATTGTGAGTTCCCATTTGGTGGAGATATTCAAGAAAACATCAGCACGTCAGGATGCTTTACTTTGGGTGCCTGGGACAAAGCAGAAGATTGGATTCCATGTCCCTTTCCAACTCTGTGATTTCTTCCAGTTCCTGGATGACTTTATAGCCACACAAGTCCAGTTGCCATACACAGCCTATGCAACATTCCACATCTCTCCCAAAGAAATTAGCATATGCTAAACTCAAATGTCACCCACATTAATGGTGACACACACCTCAAGGACCAAGCTATGTGAGAACAAAGATGTAACGCAGAATGTATTGGAGAGTACACTGCTGGTGAAGGTCCGCACATCAGAGTCCTTGCCCAGGGGAAGCAAAAAAAATCCCATTAGGGTTTCTGGCCTAGACCCTGAAGCTAAACAATGATATATTGCCTTAACTCGTGGCTTGTTTTCACTCAGTTTACACTGTGGAATGTAAAGGAAAAGAGATAACCTTGGGGAAGGTATGAAAGAACCATTAAGGAGGGAATTGTAGAAAAGATGATACAATCCAGAGACTGAAGCAAATGAGAGAAGCAGCTCAAAATAACTCTGCCTTGATTTTGTTTAGCATGAGATGGGGCAGAGAGAAATTTGGATAGACTTTCAAGATTCTGCTATTATACCCTACAGCAGTGTTTCCCAACCTTGGGCGCTTTAAGACATAAGGCTGGCTGGGGAATTCTGGCAGTTGAAGTCCACATATCTTAAAGTGGCCAAGGTTGGGAAACACTGCCCTACAGCAATAAAGTGACATCCCTGGAATCCCTGCAGTGTCTGTTTCTTGACTTGGCTTACCTCAAAGGGCTGACAAGCCACAACGGCTGAGTTTACATATTATGCTAAACTAAAAGCACAGCATGCTCTGGCTGAACTCAATATACAGAGCTGGCCTCAGCTCTTTCCACCTTTATTTATTATTTCATCATTGGTATTACTATGCCATTCTCTTCCAAAACAGCTACTTGGGGAATGAACACAAACTGATGTTTCTTGATTGCTCTTATAGAGCGACTAAAGGCTCTTTTCTTTGTTCATCTCCTAGATTAGAACGACAATTGGCTGGATATGTATAACAATTAGCACTAGGCAAAAATGCAGTTGGGTGTGTTGGGAGAGATCAGCCATTGGAAACCAGTCAATTAAGTCATTATTATATTATATTATATTATGTAAGACATATTAAGACAGTCATTCTGTTTTATTAATCTTGGTTTCCGCTTTAGCACATCATGTCTGCCCATCCACTTGGAAGTTTAAGTGGCTTAATCCTAAACTGTTCATTCAGTTTAGTAGTTTAGTGCAACACACTAAGCCGTTAAGTGGTTTATTTCGTTTTGGCTTAGCATCTTATGTGAAGCCAGCTGTAGTTTGTAAAACAAAAGCTTTCCATTCTGTGCAAACTTGGAATTAATTATAAACTAATGCAATATATATAATTAACTAAGTTTAACAGAGCCTGAGAAAGATGGCCAAGCTCCTCTCATTTCCTTACCCATGCTCATCCCACTGACTGATCATGTCCTTCTGACTTGGTTTTTCGTGCACCAGCTGGAACAAGCCAATTGCTGCATGCCCCACCTGAGCAGCGATCTGGGGAGGAAAACACTCAACATTAGGGAGAACAACCTTTTGTCTTGCTTCTGCTGAAATAATTCTGCAGCGACAGATCTACACCTCTAGGGAAGGGTTCATTCATTAACTGTAACGTATAGGTAGGAGTCTAATTGGAAATCCTGGCCAAACTCATCTTGTAAACATGGATCAACAGTACTCAGAGGACTTAAGTAACCAACCATTCGCTCCTGTGAATAGTTTTCACATTGATCATATTAGAAGAAAACAAACCGAGAGCTATTATTCAAAGGCTTTTCAAGTTATTCAATGATTCTTTAGCTGACTGTTGCTTTCAGCCTTGGATTTGCCCCTCAGTAATGAAATCGGATCAAAAACTAAGGGCGGTTTAAAAGGCTAAGAGACAATAATATCCTGAAGAGTTTACCTTTCCAGCCCCCATGGAGAGTTCCATGTTCACCACAAAGACCATCTTGTAGTATCTGCTTGGGAGAAGACTGACATCACTGCCCTGTGCCTCATCTTCATCCTGGAAAAGAGAGTTTGATGGTAATAAAGTTTTGTGTTGTAATAAAGTGTATGTGAAATGATACAACATGGAGATTAGAGTGTCAGGCTAGCCCTGGAGACCCCCAAGTTTAAATCCTTGCTCATCCATGAAGTTCACAGGATAATCCTTGGCCAATCACCAGTTCTATGTCTAACTTACTCACAGATCAGTTGGATAATGTGCAGAGGCGCAAGAAGAATTATGTACACTATTTTGAGTTCCTTAGAAGGACAGTAGGAAGTAATTATAATTATCTGCTCAGCTTCAGAGGCCCTGTCCCTAAGAGTTCAGCAAACTGGCAGGCAGAATAGACAAAATGCCTCCTGAAGGGGGCACACTTCACTAATTACCCATTCACATGTTGGCTAAACCTAGACAGTGTAGTTTGAAAACTACATTTTATAAACCATAAACTGAACTATAACTCAGCAAACCTTTTATGTGCACTTGAATGTAGCTATTTTCCCCCCAAAGCATTATATTGCTATTGTTTTATACTTTTTTCCTCTAAACAACCTTAAAAAGACTCCTGAACAAAATTTAAAAATATTAATTTCTTGGAACAAATATAAAAGCAGATAATTTGATAGAGCTACGGCCAACTCCACTTAACTGCAACTGTCTTGTACCGAGTTGGACCATTAGCTTAGCCACTCTATAGGCTAGCAGAACCTTCTGATGCTCCAGACAAGAGACCTTCCTTGCATTACTAGAAGATGCCTGGAGCTAAGCATGCATTCTACTACTAGGCTACCATTTTCAAAGATGCAACCTCACACTCAGGCCCCAAGTCCCACAGCTCTTAATGCCAATGAATTTAGGCTCCTTCATTCCTTTGGGGAAAAAAAATTAAGCAGAATCCATGTCGCATATTCTGCCCTCCCCATCAGCAAAGCAGATGGCACTATTACAGTGCTATTAACCTCGTACAGTACCGTAATATATTATTTTAGATAAGTTTCAAGCAGTTAATGTGCATATTCAATTCACTTGCTGCACTCTCCCTCTTGCAGCCTGTAAAATTACAGTCCACCAATATAATTATTCCAAATCAGGTTTCCTGGGGCTGGGGAGAAACATTTCCTGTCACTTCAGGAAGGACAGATGATTTTCAAGGAGTTTTAATTCATACAACCTTAAAGTCCTTGGTATTTCTGAATCCTGCATTGGTTTTGGAATAAAAGCACATAGATGGCTTTGCTTCCTTAGATGGATGGGAAGTAGGAGGTTGCATTCTGAAAAATTCAGAGGCCACAGATTTCTTGGTAGAAGCAAGACTGGACTTTGGCATTCTAAGTAAGTTTATGTCTGTGTGGGTATACTGTTATGTATATATGCATGTACAATGATACAACCCTTTAATTAGAATATGTATATTCCTATTAAAATGACATGCAATTCAAGCCTTGACCTACATTTCAAAGCATTTATTTCTAACATCCAAGAAACATAAAATGTTTTCATTCCTATCAAACAGCATCAACCACATACTCTTCCATATACATCATACGTACTCCGGTCATTCATAATTCTATGAAGAAGCTTAGCTAATTAATACTATAAGTATACCTAGTTTTTACAGTGCGGAAAAGACTTGTGGACACACTTTTCAGCATATTTTATTTATTCGTTCCATGCTGCTTCAGACAAATGAAAATGAATTATTTTAAATGTTTTATATTATGTTTTTTTCAAACATAGTTATTCCCAATGCAGGGATAGTGATAGCTTTTTTTATAGTAAAGTAAGAGTGACTAGCAGTAAACATTACCTTTATTACCCACAAAACCTGATGCCATAATAAATATGTTCATCTTTTAGGTGCCACTAGACTTGCTACTACAAACTAACACCTGTACCCTTCTGGAAATATACTAACACATAGGCTCCTCCCCCCAATTCCATTGTAATTGGGGATTCTATATCTCTACAAATATGTGAATCCTTTTGGATCTATCATTTCCTGCAGAAGTTTTCTGCCTCTGGGCAGCAAAGTGGGGTGTAAATAAAAATATGTGATCATTATCCAAAACACTGTCGATCATTTATAGGACAGACTTGCTGATCACGTTTTAAGCCCCAACCTGACGGTGTAGACATTAGAAAAGGAGCTAGGCCAGCAACTGATTTCCAACCGGACCAGAAGGAAACTGAAATCAAGCGTAGCAAATACCTGGGAATCGAGACCGCTACTGAAGTAAAGCTGCGCCGCCGCTTCAGCAGAATGGCCCCCAGTGAGCGCCAGAGCCTGGGGGGGCGAGGAGAGAGGGGAAAGAGGGAAAATTACAGGAAGATACAAGCGAGACGGAATGGATCCCAACCCACACCCGACTCCGATCCCCTGATAAAGACGACCCACCCTCCGCGCCGCAGCCTCCGGGATCCCCAAGTCCAGCAAGAGAGCGAAGAGAGACTCATCCACGCTCGCGTCCGAATCAGGCGATTGCGACTCCATTCCTTACAGCTGCCGGCGCTCTGCCCACCTATTGGCTACCTCTCTCGCCTCTCGACCAATGAAAGTACAAGTGCCCCTTTCGTCATCGCTTTGTGACCAATAGCCCTGCCAGTTTCTTAGATTACAACTATTGTCTGCGCCCGTGGCGGAGTGTGGTTCGCTTGTAATGGTTCTGATTCCACGTGGATTTCCAGGAGCAGGGCCCGTACAGGCTGGGGATTATGGGGGTTGTAGTCCAACGTATCTGAAGGCTATGGAGAACCGGCCTATTCAGTATATGTACACCAGACCTGGCCTTTAACGTGTCTTTGATTCCAAGAAATCTATATTAGGGCTGCAGGTTGGGGAAAGGCTGTGTGACCATTTGGTTGGCTGACCTGTATTTAAACCTCTGTCTAGACCAGTGTTTCTCAACCTTGGCAACTTTAAGATATGTGGACTTCAACTTCCAGGGGGAATTCTGGGAGTTCAAGGCCACATATCTTAAGGTTGCCAAAGTTGAGAAACACTGGTTCAGACCAGTGATGGTGAACCTTTTGGCTCGGTGTGTCAAAAATTTGGAAAATGCCTAACTCGATTCTGCTGGCATGTCACCCACCCAACAAAAGAGAAACAATTCTTTGAATATTAATTTATTTTAAAAAATACAGTCCAATCATGTGCAGCGCTATGTATTATATAAAGAAACATCTAATTACAAAAATGAAATACCAGTAAAACAAACTCAGTTTCTTTGGTAACTCATACAGGGAGAATAGTTGTTGTTGGGTGTTGGTGAACTTGTGTGTCACCCAAAACATCGTGGCTTGTCACCTTTCACATGTGTGTCATAGGTTTGCCATCACTGGGCTAGATAATTGGTGGGGTGGGGCATTTTGAGGCAATAAGTGAAAAGCAACCTTTCCGTATATGGTTTGCATTACACTTGTAAATATGAGACAATCTACATGTGGCATCAACAGCTTTTTGAAAAGGATACTCAATGCAGTCATTGCCCACCACCAATCAACTAGTACAAATAAATTATTTCTCTGATTCATGAAGAGTTGCAGCGGGGAAGGAGAGGAGAACTATCTGTTTCCCAGCAAAGAAGCTACTGGCTGGGTTCACACACCACTTTAGTCTAGATTAACATGTGTTTGGTTAGCTGCAGCTCAGGGTACTGTGTGGTTAGTTACTTTGTTGTGTTTTATGAACCAAGCCGCGGTAACTGCCTGGACAAGTCCCTGCGGTTTTCTTTGGCAGGATTTCAGAAGTGGTTTGCCATTGCCTGCCCCCTAAGGCTGAGAGAGAATGACTGGCCCCAGGTTACCCAGCTGTCTTTGTACCTAAAGTGGGACTAGAACTCACAGTCTCCCGGTTTCAAGGCTGTTGCCTTAACCACTACACCAAAGTGGCTCTCAATAACCATGAATTAATGTGTTTTTTATTAACATAGCTGTATAGAGAGGCTGTATTTGCACAAGAGACTGAATATGACCATCCACATTTTATCTAGCATGTTCTGCAAATCCATCCCTTGTGATTAGCTTATGGTTCAATGTGTCATGCAAACCCTGAAAAATGTTTTAAATGAGTAAATGATGATCCCTGAACTGTGGATGGCCAGAGTGACCTGTTATGCTCTTCTGAAAGGAAGAGGCATGGAAGGGAGTCAGTTTCTTCACTCCCCCTCCTGAACTGCCATTCTGGGTAATGTTGGCAGTGATGATTGGAACCATCTAGCCTACACTTTATAGCAAGAGAGGGTGAACCTCCTCTTGCTTCTTTCTTCTGTCTCTCCTTCATTTATTTCCTCTCCCACTCCAAACTCAGAAGCTGAGTGAGCAGGCAGAAGGCAAGTTATTGTTCATTCTCTTTGGACAGCCATGCCAATCCCATTCCTACCACACTGCCAAAGGGAGAAGAGGAGTATATGATGAAGAGAGAGGGATGAGTGATGAGAAGTGGCTCTTTGTATATACTAGGAACAGCTGCTGCCCTCTCACAATCACTCAAACGCTGGGCAACTGTTGGAAGATTTTTTTCCTTCCATTGCTCACCCGCCTTCTCTTGGAATGCCGTACCTGCTATCGCATCCCGCTTTTTCTGGGTGGAAATTGGACACATGGTGGAATGGTAGTCAAGGTGCATCTGGAGAAAGGAAGCAGGTAAGCAAGGTCATTATTCCTCTTGCCTGCTCACTTACCTTCTCTTGTTGAGTAATACAAAATATTCAGGGAATAATTTGTCCAATGGGCTCCAGTGTCTCCTCCCACTTCCCCCCCCCCCCCCCCCCCCC